TCATTCAATCATTCAATCATCCGTTCATTCGTCGTTCATTCATTAATTCCTTCATTGAATCATTTATTCATTCATTCATTCAATCATTCATTAATTCCTTCATTGAATCATTTATTCATTCATTCATTGATTCATTCAATGATTCATTCATTCATTCGTTCAATCTTAATTGAATCATTCATTCATTCAATCATTCAATCATCTGTTCATTTGTTCGATTATTCATTCATTCATTCATTGAATCGTTTATTAATTAATTCAATCATTCAATCATTCAATCATTCATTCGTTCATTCATTCATTCGTTCGTTCGCTCATTCGTTCGTTCGTTCATTCATTCATCCATTCATTCATTCATTCATTCATTCATTCAATAAATCATTCATTTATTCATTCAATTATTCAATCATTCAATCATCCGTTCATTCGTTCGTTCGTTCATTCATTCATTCATTCATTCATTCATTCATTCATTCATTCATTCATTCATCCATTCATCCATTCATTCATTCAATCATTAATTGATTCATTCATTGATTTATTCATTAATTCATTGATTCATTCAATCATTCATTCATTCATTCATTCATTCATTTAATCATCCATTCATTCATTCATTCAATGAATCATTCTTTCATTCAGTCATTCAATCATTCAATCATCCATCCATTCATTCGTCGTTCATTCATTCATTCAATCATTAATTGATTCATTCATTCATTGATTGATTGATTCATTCATTCATTCATTCATTCATTCATTCAATCATTCAGTCATTCATTCATTCAATCAATCATTCATTCAACCATTAATTGATTAATTAATTCATTAATTCAATCATTAATTGATTAATTCATTGATTCATTCATTCAATCATTCATTCATTCATTCATACATTAATGTTATATCTGTGAGTAAGCGTCACCTTCTGTCCCTCCGGCTCGGCTCCGGCCATCTTCAGGTCGTCTCCGGTGTGGTTGGTGCAGTGTTCGCAGGTGCAGTCGAAGTAATACTGTTGCTTCAGCAAACGCCTGCGATCTTCAGACAGGTTGAGATAGTCCACATACGACACGGTCACCTCTTCCCCAGGACTGATCTTCCCCAGCGCTCGCAGCTCGATTCTGTGACACACACACACGCTCGAATCAGAGCACACACAACTAGTCTACACACTTCAGCCTCATGAACCGGTTCCTGCGCTCACAGTCCAGATCAAGTAAGCGCACATAACCAAACACTCTTTGCTAACTAGGCCAAACAGAGGAGTTGTGTATATAGACCCAGATTGTGATCATATACAACATATTAACTTGATCTGACAGCAGACGGAAACACAGTGACACACACAGACAAATGTTCGTGAGTCGTAAACCCACAGATATTTGCATAAGTGTAATTAGTTGTGGCAGCTGTCAAGACTGGAAGAAAGTGTTATTAGATGTGAAAGAGGTTAGAAGTGACCAACCACCCGTCAGCAGCTCTCGTCATACTTCAATTCTGTCATCATTTCACTCTCGCGTCGTTACAACTTTCTTTCTTTCTTCAGCAGAACGTGAAAGAAAACACAATGACACATGAAAACGAACTTGAGCATTTGTAAATGATAACAGAATTTTTGACTATCCCATCTATCTCATCTGTTTTAATAAATATCAGTATTTGATTTAGAGTTTAATCCAGATTATGAACAAACGTTCTCCCAGTAAAGTTAATAGATCGTTATCGGTTCTCGAAACGTTGACACAAATTGTAACATTTTTAAATGTTCGAATGGAAATGTTCAAATGTTACAAAATTGAATGTTCAGTTAACAAGGAATAACTTTATTAAAGTCCCCCTGTGGTGTAAATCCAGCGTTTAATGTTGTTTATGTGTCTATGTGGTGTTTTTAATACGCTTTAAGACACACCATGTGTGAGTTCATAAGTCGACAGCATTGCTGAGTATTTCCTCCTTAAAACTGCAGTGAACCAAAGACAGTCTCAAAAACACGGTTTGAAATCGCTGGTGTTTCTGACGTCACAAACGACCTTGTAACCAATCAGATCAACGTGTGATCGTCAACCAGTGGATCTCTGAGCTGAGTGAGTGAGTGGAGGCGGGGCTCATTTGCATATTCATAGAACCGCGCATACTAAATGAGGCGAGGGTGTCGAGTTACATTCAAGATCATTTTTGGTGATCAAAGATGGGATAAAATGATTGACAACAGGGGGACTTTAAATGTTGTGAACTTTTCAGAGAACATTACAATAACTTAACTGGAACGTTATCTAAAATATGTTGTCAGATGGGTAGACAGTGCAAGCGAACTCTCCTGATTAAAGCTGTTCTCGGTGTCTCCGTCATGTTCTGTTTGGCTGTGTTTGGGTAGTTGATTATTTGAAATGATAGATGTGATGATAGAAAGAAGAAGATCTGATACGGTTAAGAGGTTAAACGGACCCACCTCTTCTGAGAATGATACATAGTATCGACAGCCGACTGACTGAAACACAAAGCAAGAAGCAGCTGGACTTACTGAACTTAGGATACGGTTTTCAATCAAACTCTGTTGTTGTTCTGACGTTAAAAAAGAGGCAAAACTACAATTTGCGGCCGAATGCTAGTGTACTTCAAATTAAAATTACACTGCTTTATTTGGACATTTCTATGTAAGCTTGTTTGAGCCACAGAATAAAAAATAAAAAAGGTTATTGCGACTTTTTATTTCAGAATTGGGTGATCGAAAGTCGCAATTGTGAATTATATACTCAGAATTGTGAGAAATAAACTGGAAATTCTGACTTTTTTCTCAGAATTGCATGTTTATATCTCACAATTCTGAAAAAAAAGTCAGTCTTTTTTTAACCTTAGAATTTAACTTTATAACTCGCAATTGCAAGTTTATATCTCACAATTCTGAGAAAAAATGTCAGAATTGTGTGTTATAAAGTCAGAATTGCGAGTTATAAAGTCGCAATTGTGAGAAAAAAGTCAGATTTCTGACTTTATAACTCACAATTCTGACTTTATTCTGACTTTATAATTCGCAATTCTGACTTTATATGAGTTTATATCACACAATTCTGACTTTATATGAGTTTATATCACACAATTCTGTCTGTATATGAGTTTATATCACACAATTCTGACTTTATATGAGTTTATATCACACAATTCTGTCTTTATATGAGTTTATATCACACAATTCTGTCTTTATATGAGTTTATATCACACAATTCTGACTTTATATGAGTTTATATCACACAATTCTGTCTTTATATGAGTTTATATCTCAAAATTCTAACTTTATATCTCGCAATTCTGACTTTATATGACACAATTCTGACTTTATATGAGTTTATATCTCAAAATTCTGTCTTTATATGAGTTTATATCTCAAAATTCTGTCTTTATATGAGTTTATATCTCAAAATTCTAACTTTATATCTCGCAATTCTGACTTTATAACTCGCAATTCAAACTTTATATCTCGCAATTCTGACTTTATATCACACAATTCTGTCTTTATATGAGTTTATATCACACACTTCTGTCTTTATATGAGTTTATATCTCAAAATTCTGTCTTTATATGAGTTTATATCTCGCAATTCAAACTTTATATCTCGCAATTCTGACTTATAACTCGCAATTCTGACTTTATATCACACAATTCTGTCTTTATATGAGTTTATATCACACAATTCTGACTTTAAATCACACAATTCTGAGAAATAAAGTCAGAATTGCAAGATGTAACTCGCAATTGGGAGATAAAAAGTCGCAATTATCTTTTTAAAATGTTTTATTCTGTGGCGGAAACAAGCTTCCATAGCATTCTCTGTGAGTCTTGTTCAATGAGAGTGTCTTATCATGACCATCATGAGTTGAAAGAATGCATGTGACCACACATTAGCGCTCCAGAACGGCACACACAGGCCGCAGTATTTGGGTGAATGCACACATTTCACGGAAACCCTGAATCACATGAGCGGGTTATTCCCTTCCCAACTCTTTCAGTTCAAACTCTCAGTTCCTCCAGCCATCGTTCTCTCTGATTCCTCGCCCACACACGTTACTTTCACCTGTGCGCTCTCACGCTCACACTGAGGATCTGAAGACCGGCGCTGACACTCACTTGCCGTTGTTGAGTATGACGGTGCAGTTGGGCCAGCAGTCGTGGTTCACCAGACACAAGTTAGGAAACAAGCCGACGCCAACCGCCTGCAAACCTCTCTGATCGCTCACCATGAACCCGTTACAGTTGATCTGGGGAAACGTGGAAGACAGAAGAGTCACGTTTGCAATCATTAGGATTTGAAATGGTGCATAAAATGTGATATATTATTGCAATTTAAAATATCAGTTTTCTATGTGAATATACAGTAAAGTGTAATTTATTCCTGTGATTTTCAGCATCATTACTCCAGTCTTCAGTGTCACATGATCCTTCAGAAATCACTCTAATATGAGGATCTGATGCTCAAGAAACATAATTATCAATACTGAAAACAGTTCATATTTTGTGGAAGATTTAGGATAAGTAAGATTTTTTAAAAAGAGAGAGAAATTAATATTTTTATTCATCAAGGAAAACCAAATATATGATGGTTTCCACAAAAATATGAACAGTTTTCAACACTGATAATAATCATAAATGTTTCTTGAGCATCAGATCCTCATATTAGAGTGATTTCTGAAGGATCATGTGACACTGAAGACTGGAGTAATGATGCTGAAAATCACAGGAATAAATTACACTATTTTATTAAAATTAAAACAGCTATTTTAATTTATAATAATATTTCACATTTATTTCAGTCATTTTGCTTCTTCTCCAGTAAATGTCTCTTGATTTAAGAATGTTTCGATATTTGTGCTGGAAAACAAGACAGAAACACTGAGGAAGAAGATAATTTTTTTTGCAGAGAAACAATGTGTTATTCACATAAATTTACACTGAAAATGGTTGGTAGTTTCTTGTATTTTGATGGTTTCAGTGCTTGATGACAAGACCATTTTATCCTCATATTGAATACATTAAAATTACACTTTACTATACAGGTGAAACTTGAAAAATTAGAATATGGTGCAAAAGTTCATTTATTTCAGTAATTCAACTTAAAAGCTGAAACTAATATATTATATAGACTCATTACATGCAAAGTGAGATATTTCAAGCCTTTATTTGTTATAATTGTGATGATTATGGCTTACAGATATGAAAACCTTTTCACAATATTCTAATTTTGAATTTGGGGTTTAATAAGCTGTAAGCCATAAACTTATAACAAATAAAGGCTTGAAATATCTCACTTTGCATGTAATGAGTCTATATAATATATTAGTTTCAGCTTTTAAGTTGAATTACTGAACTTTTGCACCATATTCACATTTTTCGAGTTTCACCTGTATATTCACATAGAAAACAACATTTTAATTTATAATAATATGTCAATTTTTTTACTGTATTTTTGATCAGCCTTTGTGAACATAAGAGACTTCTTCTTTCAAACACATTAAAATCATAATTCTCCGTAACGCTTGATCAGCTAAAGCGATGATTGGGAGTAACGCACCACTCCGAGGATGTGTGAGATGCTGTCCACCGTGTGCTGTTTGCTCCCGCGAGGCCAGAAGTCCAGGAAGTTGTGGATGTCCACCTTGAAATCCTTCAGGTCGTCCTCGTTCATGTCACAGATGTGGTTTTCCAGTTCATCCAGGGTCGTCATCTGCATGTCCGAGACCACCATTCCCTGCTTATCGACACGCCACATGATGCGAGCCGCGAGACTAACACACAGAACATCAGATTTTTACATCATTTCTGTCACATATGAGCGTGAACGCTACGTGCAGAGCGCCACCGTGAAGAGAGCATGTCTAAATATTCCCTCGCACTTTGTAACACATCTTTCCCTCGCGGGTCAAAATGCCCTAAAATTATACTTTTTTTTTTTCTTTTTTTTTTCTTCAAAAAGCTTATTTTATTTCTATCTATTTTTTCTATTTTTAATGCAATTTTTTGGGAGATTTTTTGTTATTTTTTATTTTATTTAGCTTTAAATTACTAGATTTGATCAATAATAAATAATAAATAAATAGTAATTTAAGCACATTCCTCACATTCTTTCAACTTAAATTCAAAATAACTCACAGTTTTATGCATAACCCTTTTAATTCAGCTCTAAATATCTGACATTGTGTGTCTTTGCCGACCGCTTGTGTTAAATAATTAATATAAGATGATATTTCATGACTCTAGATGGCCTTATATCTCTATATGGAGTAAATGAGCTGTTCCTCTGGGTCCTAAAGTCAGTTTCTCTTCAATATGCATTCAGACACACATGTAGACATTATAAAATAATTTTTTGGTAAAGGTTTAGCATTTTTAGTTTGAATTTTTAGCATTTTTAGGGTTTTCAATGTGAACTGAAGCATTCCACTCATTCCTAAGGGGCTCAAATTGACCCGAGAGGGAAGGATTTGTTACTTTTTAAAATTTCAACCCAAAAACTCGTCGAATCCATTACTTTTGTGTGTGTGTGTGTATTTGTGGATCAAGTGCGACAAAAGTCCAGGGATCTTGGACTCCTCTGATGAACACTCAATTTAAAAAAAAAAAAAATTTAACAGAGTTTCGGGTCAAAATGAGCCGAGGGAATGATGATGGCTAGGATAGACTTGGTCCGCTGAAAACACCAGCATTAATGTGTGCATTTAGACATTAACATATGAGTGCATTTAACATGCATCATACAGGGTTCGTACAGAAACTGTAAAATGAAATTCCAGGACTTTTCAAGGTTTTTCAAGGACTTTAATGAGAGATCTCACTTATCAAACAATATCTTTATTTTATTTCAAATTCTAAAAAAGGTAAATAGATAAACAAAAATAAACTAATAAAACAAAATGGTTCAAATAAAGCAATGACTGTGTAACTTTAACCATTGAAAGGATACTATGACAAAGATATCGCTTTCCTCTTTCAAACTGATTTTTTCCCACATTAATATATGATTGACCTGAAGAATGAAAGATGCAACATATACGTGGATATTTATGAGCAATATCACACTCATGCGAAATGGCTCTATATCAATATCAGACGGACTGCAGCGTTAATTTTGTGTGAAAAGATTGTTTTATCATTAAAATTAATTCAATAATTCAAGCACCATTCATAAATATGGAGAGTTTTCCAGGACTTAAATTCCAAAACGTCAAATTCAAGCATCCCTGATCATAACTGCAGTGTTACGGCTCATACCGGATGTTTTCATTGGGTGCTTTCCCGTAGCTCTTGATGCCGGCGCACTCGAGCTTGTGCTCTTCCCACGCGGCGCGCTGACACGTCCGGTCGCAGTATTGAGCGAAGCGGCACTGACCGCAGCGCTGGAGCTTCTCCTGCCGCCGGAAACACCAGTGACACACACTGGACACCAGACTGGAACAGAGGACGCTTCATTACGGCACGCACAGAGACTCGAATCACATTACACTCACAAACACACTTACAGATGAAGAACACAAACTTTACACACATGCCAGCATGATGAAACTTAGTGTACACATCAACATTATAGAGAAAACAATGCATCAATATTAAAAAATCTTTGGAAGATATCACTGAACATTTATTTAGCCATAGCATTACATCATTCTCTCACTCCACAGAGAGCATTCAATCTCTTTACAGTTACAAACACATTTACAGATGAAAAAGAAAAAGAAATACTCCAGGTGAATTTACACAAACTGAGAAAGTCCGGAAGTGTTCAGTTGCGCCCGCTCTTCACATCTCATATATTTGTTCTTACATTAGTTACAGAGTTTGTGACTGTATTTGGTGACACACTTACCTTAATCTTTCATGCTGAATCATCTTATGCAACCCTGTTTTTATATCTCATGTTCAAATTGGAAAACTGATTCCTCATGGTCTGATCATAAATTGCTCGATTCTAATCTTGATTTTACAGTGTGTTATTTTAAGACAAGTTCGGATCTGGAAAAGCCACGCAAGTTCTCTTTGGGACTTAAGGTTAAATATAGACTATAAACAGCATATGACACCACGACTGGATCGACCCCTGCTATTTAAAGCTCAATAATCAGTGTTACTGTAGAATCTCTGATATACAATCTCACTTGTAAAGGCTCTATATGGAACTTCAAAGGTTCCTTCAGGCGCTTTTAGGGGTTCCATCATGAGATAGAGCTTCAATTAGTTGTTTTTAAGAATTTAATTTAATTTTATGAATTAAGCTGTTAGTAAATATAACTTATCACTAATTTATTGCATTATGCAGTCATTTAAGAGCTCAATATAGAATCCCTTTTTCTCTAAGAGTGTACTATTATAGTTTTTAGTAATATTTTGAATTACACTGAAAACAATCTGCTGTATGGAAGCTTGTTTCCGCCACAGAATTAAAAAGGAAAAAGGTAATTGCAACTTTTTATCTCACAATTGCGAGATATAAAGTCACAATTGCGAGATATAAAGTCAGAGTTGCGAGGTATAAAGTCAGAATTGCGTGATATAAAGTCAGAATTGCGAGATATAAAGTCAGAATTGCGTGATATAAAGTCAGAATTGATTGATATAAAGTCAGAATTGCGAGATATAAAGTCAGAATTGCGTGATATAAAGTCAGAATTGTGAGATATAAAGTCAGAATTGCGAGATATAAAGTCAGAGTTTGAGATATAAAGTCAGAATTGCGAGATATAAAGTCAGAATTGCGAGATATAAAGTCAGAATTGCGAGATATAAAGTCAGAATTGCGTGATATAAAGTCAGAGTTTGAGTCAGAGTTGGAGATATAAAGTCAGAATTGCGAGATATAAAGTCAGAATTGCGATATAAAGTCAGAATTGCGAGATAAAGTCAGAATTGCGAGATAAAGTCAGAAATGCGAGATATAAAGTCAGAATTGCGAGATATAAAGTCAGAATTGCGATATAAAGTCAGAATTGCGAGATAAAGTCAGAGTTGGAGATATAAAGTCAGAATTGCCAGATATAAAGTCAGAATTGCGAGATATAAAGTCAGAATTGCGATATAAAGTCAGAATTGCGATATAAAGTCAGAATTGCGAGATATAAAGTCAGAATTGCGAGATATAAAGTCAGAATTGCGAGATATAAAGTCAGAATTGCGAGATAAAGTCAGAATTGCGAGATATAAAGTCAGAATTGCGAGATATAAAGTCAGAATTGCGATATAAAGTCAGAATTGCGAGATATAAAGTCAGAATTGCGAGATAAAGTCAGAATTGCGAGATATAAAGTCAGAATTGCGAGATATAAAGTCAGAATTGCGATATAAAGTCAGAATTGCGAGATAAAGTCAGAGTTGGAGATATAAAGTCAGAATTGCGAGATATAAAGTCAGAATTGCGATATAAAGTCAGAATTGCGATATAAAGTCAGAATTGCGAGATATAAAGTCAGAATTGCGAGATATAAAGTCAGAATTGCGAGATATAAAGTCAGAATTGCGAGATAAAGTCAGAATTGCGAGATATAAAGTCAGAATTGCGAGATATAAAGTCAGAATTGCGAGATAAACTCATGAGATAATGAGTCACAATTGTGAGATAAAAAGTTGCAATTATCTTTAAAAATGTTTTATTCTGTGGCGGAAACAAGCTTTCATAACTGTAGGATTTACCATTTTCACTCAGAAATTACGACAAAATTTCATAAATAGTAACAAAGAAACGGCAAGTAACACTGAATTAAATGAAGTTCAAACCGTAGGTTCGGGAGGAGCCTAAACATTCAGTCCTGTCAATCATCATTACGAGCGCACATTCAACTTAAAAGCTGAAACTAATATATTATATAGACTCATTGCATGCAAAGTGAGATATTTCAAGCCTTTATTTGTTATAATTGTGATGATTATGGCTTACAGATATGAAAACCTTTTCACAATATTCAAATTTTGAATTTGGGGTTTTCATAAGCTGTAAGCCATAATCATCACAATTATAACAAATAAAGGCTTGAAATATCTCACTTTGCATGTAATGAGTCTATATAATATATTAGTTTCACCTTTTAAGTTGAATTACTGAAATAAATGAACTTTTGCACCATATTCAAATTTTTCAAGTTTCACCTGTAACCATTATGAATTATAGCAATTCCATCATGGGGGGTTTAATCGGGTTTAAGTTAGTTTGCTATTAACCTTTAAGGCTGAACGGCGGGCGAGCTAGCGAAACTATTCTGAAGTAGACAAACTGAAATTGTAAACATACTTCAATAATCTTACAACTTTAACTTTTATGTTTATATCATTCGGTTTTCATTTGAATTTTAGTTAAAGTTTTACTCATTTTGTTGTTGTTCTGTTCTTTTGAAATATCGTTTTTATTCTTTTTATTTCAGTTTTAGTTATTTTAGGACATCAAGTTAAAATAAAAAATGTCACTTTGTCGACTAGCTGAGATAAAATATGTTTTTATAATTCACTCTATTTCAGTTAAACACAAAATACAATGATCAGAAGTAACTTTACTCTTCAAACATGATGTTCTTCCTCAGTGTTTCTGTCTCGTTTTCCAGCACAAATATCCAAACATTCTTAAATCAGGAGACATTTACTGGAGAAGAAGCAAAATGACTGAAGATATTAAGATAAAATACCGTGTTTACGCTTAATATGGGGTCAGTTTTCCCTTTGAATTAAGTTTATTTTTCTGACTCCATTGTTCTCACTTCAACTCGACTTAATATCTTCAGTCATTTTGCTTCTCCAGTAAATGTGGATGAAATGAGGAAGAACATCCATTTTTCCAGCACTTCAAAACTCAAATATTGTTTTAACAAATATTATACATTATTTGGTCATCCTTCAAAGATTACCCCCATTTATAAAACTAAAAGTTTCAAGATGTAGGAAAACTCACATTTATTTTTTTCACATTTAATTTTTAAATTTTTGTGAACCGTTACATACGGAAGCGTATTGCATTCACTTGAGGAAAAAAATCTACTCTGTTTTTCTGAATTAACGAGTTAATATCTCAGAATTTCGAGATACATTTTTCTTGAAAAACATGTTTTCACTCTGTTTTTATGAATTAATGAATTTAATTCAAAACAATTTTTTTTTTTTTTTTTTTTTTTTTTTACAATTTAACACATTACACACAACACAATCACAGAAAACACCAAGAAGAATACCGCTAAGTATTGGAAATTAATAAGTATGGTATGATGGATTTTTCCATACTCGATAAGTATGGAAAAACTTTTTTTCCATGAAAAATTATCTCGTAATTCTGAGATATTAACTCATTAATTCAGAAAAACAGAGTAGATTTTTTTCCTCAAGTGAATGCAATACGCTTCCGTAGTTACACCCTTAATATTGCGATATGAAATAAGCCGTTTTCCCCTCCTCCTCCTCCTCCTCTTCATCATGTGTGGTTGCACTTCGCTGGATGTTTCGGCTCTTACCTGTCCAACACCACAGACGCCAGCGGGGCTTCAGAGAACAGAACGTCTCCAGCCCAGACCTCTTTGGTGGCCCGAAGGCCCCTGCCTTTCCCCGGAGCGTCGAACACTTCCACAAACTCCATGCCTGTCCGTGGTCTTCACTGAGCCGTGCGCTTCGGTCTGGCGTCTGGGATTCCTCGAGCACTCCCTAAAATAGCCCAGGGCTCCAGCTGTACCATGTTGGGGTTCAGTGGGGGTGTTTCGAGAAGGTGTGTGTGTCGTCACACGGGACGATCCGGGTCAGGGTTCCCAGAGGTCTGTGGAAAGAGCAGGAACAGGTGACGCAACAGTCGCAGCTGGATGAGATTTAGTGCTGTTTGAGGTTGCAGATTTGCACAGTTTTCACCTGCGTGCGTTTCCCCCGCCGCGAGAGCCGAGAGAGCCGAGAGAGCCGAGAGAGTGAGGGGTATTTCTGGCCCTCAGTTGGAGCCGCCAGTCAAGAGACAGCTGTCGCCACCTGGAGCTTCCAGCACCTTCCTTCCCCCACACACACACACACACTCTCTGGGTCATTCACACACACACACACACACACATACATACTCTCTGGGTCATTCACACACACACACACACACACACACACACACACACACACACACACACACTCTGGATCACACACACACACACACGCACACAAACACATTCTGGATCATTCTCACTCACACACACACACACACACTCACACACACACACACAAACACAAACACATTCTGGATCATTCACACACACACACACACACACACACAAACACATTCTGGATCATTCACACACACACACACACACACACACACACTGGATCCTTCACACACATCCAGAACAATGTTCCATTCAAGAAGAGTCATTCACAAAACATGCAGTTGTTACTTTAAAGACAGATTTCCATCTGATGACCTTCAGTTCTAAGAGCCTGAAACACACACACACACACACACACACACACACACACACACACACACACACACACACACACACACACACACACACATCTCAAAGCTGTCCATGTGGAGGACTAACAGAAAGGAATAATAATAGTGATGAAAACTCTGAAAGGGCACAAAAGTCTATGAGGGAGTGAGGCCGAGATCATGTGACACACTCTTATATTTGAGCTTCTCTAAATATATATATATATAATTGTACTTTTTTATTCAAATATATATATATATATATATATATATATATATATATATATCATTTAACTTTTTTTTATTCAAATATATATATATATAATTTAACTTTTTTATTCAAATATATATATATAATTTAACTTTTTTTTATTCAAATATATATATATAATTTAACTTTTTTTATTCAAATATATATATATATAATTTAACTTTTTTTATTCAAATATATATATATAATTTAACTTTTTTATTCAAATATATATATATAATATAACTTTTTTTATTAAAATATATATATATAATTTAACTTTTTTTATTCAAATATATATATATATAATTTAACTTTTTTTTTTCAAATATATATATATAATTTAACTTTTTTTGTTCAAATATATATATATATAATTTAACTTTTTTTATTCAAATATATATATATAATTTAACTTTTTTATTTGAATATATATATATATAATTTAACTTTTTTTATTTGAATATATATATATAATTTAACCTTTTTTATTCAAATATATATATATATATAATTTAACTTTTTTTATTTGAATATATATAGAATTTAACTTTTTTATTTGAATATATATATATATAATTTAACTTTTTTTATTCAAATATATATAAATAATTTAACTTTTTTTATTCAAATATATATGTATAATTAATTTTTTTTATTTGAATATATATATATATAATTTAACTTTTTTAATTTGAATATATATATATATTGATGGCCCGGTGGTATCCATGTGCTGCAGTGAGTGTGTGTGTCCTCCTGATCATCGCATGCGAACACATGGGCATCTGCTGCTCCCATGATTAGTGACGGACATTACACACACGACACACTCCAGGAAGGACATGCTGATATAATTCATATATCATAATGATTTAGTTCTGCTTGTGTATCTTCTGAAAGAGAATCTCTTTCTGTCCTGTTCCGCATTCACACTTCCACTCCGGCTGCGACTCTGCTTCTCTCTCGCCGTTCCTGTATCATCACTTGCTTCTTTTTCTCATTTTGTAGGATGAGATTTTAAATGATTTACAGTAATCGAGTGAGTTCGGCTGGATCTCTGTATTACTGAATGATAAAATTAACATTATTAATATTTGTTTCTCAGTGTTTTTGTCTCATTTTCCAGCACAAATATCTAAACACTCTTTATTCAAGATACATTTACTGGAGAAGAAGCAAAATGACTGAAGATATTAAGACTGAAAAATTATGTGAGTTTGTGCTTAAAACAAGAACTTAACAACAACAAGCATAAACTTACTTATAATGTCAAATTGATAACACTTTAGTAATGACTAGAGTTATCATGCTTTACACTTTATAATACTGATCCAAATAATTAGTAGTTCCTTCTGAAAGTCATTACTAGTGTGTTATTGTTACCTTATAGTATACATTATGAATTATTGATATTAATTATGAAACTGTATATAGTAGCTCTTATTAGTTCTCAGTGAAGTATAAAAATAGTCACTAATTAGCTAATAGTGAACGACCACATTCGTGAATGATCTTTTGTGTGAAATGGATTCACGGTGGAGTCAGAAATATAATCTTAATTCAAAGGAAAAACAAAATGATTTCTACACTGCAAAAAATGCGTTTCTTACTTAGTATTTTAGTCCAAATATAAAAAAATTCTTACATCAAGATGCATTTACTAGATGAGTAAAACACCATAAGATATTAAGTCTTATTTGGTGGGGAAATAAATAAAAATTAAGTGAGTTGATGCTTAAAACAAGCAAAATGATCTGCCAATGGGGTCAGAAAAATAATCCTGTTTCTGTTTGAGTTAATATTATTTTTCTGACCCCATTGGCAGATCATTTTGCTTGTTTTAAGCATCAACTCACTTAATTCTGATTAATTCCCCAGAAAACAAGACATAATATCTTATGTCATGCTACTCATCTAGTAAATGCATCTTGAATCTAAGAATTTTTTTATATTTGGACTGGAAACAAGACACAAATACTAAGTAAGAAACGCATTTTTGCCGTGTATAAGCATAAACTATCTTAATTAGTTTCATTAAACAAGTTCTAACATCTTCAGTCATTTGGGGGTTTTTTTGTGCTGGAAAACGAGACAGAAACGCTTTTCTGCTTGTAAAGCATTTATTATTATTAGTTAGTGATATTTGCTTTTGTTTAAGCACAAACTCACTTCATTTTCATACATTTTTAATGAAACAATTCGTAATATCTTCAGTCATTTTGCTTCTTCTCCAGTAAATGCATCTTGATTTAAGAATGTTTATATATTTGTGCTGCACTGCAAAAAATGCTTTTCATACTTAGTATTTGTGTCTTGTTTCCAGTCCAAATATCAAAAAATTCTTAAATCAAGATGCTTTTACTAGATGAATAAAATTACATAAGATATTATGTCCTGTTTTCCGGGGGAATTAATCAGAATAAAGTGAGTTGATGCTTAAAAAAAGCAAAATTATCTGCCAATGGGGTCAGAAAAATAATATTAATTCAAACAGAAATAGGATTATTTTTCTTACCACATTGGCAGATAATTTTACTTGTTTTAAGCAAAAACTCACTTTATTTTGATTGATTTCCCCAGAAAACAAGACTTAATATCTTATGTAATTTTACAACTTTAGTAAATGCATCTTGATTTGAGAAATGTTTGATATTTAGACTGGAAACAAGACAAAAAATACTAAGAAAAGCATTTTTTGCAGTGTGGTTTTCTATCATGCAGAACTTTTACACTGCAAAAAAAATGCATTTATTACTTAGTATTTGTGTCTTGTTTCCAGTCCAAATATCAAACATTTCTCAAATCAAGATGCATTTAGATGAGTAAAATGACATACAATTTTAAGTCTTGTTTTCTGGGGGAATTAATCAAAATAAAGTGAGTTTTTGCTTAAAACAAGTAAAATGATCTGCCAATGTGGTCAGAAAAATAATCCTGTTTCTGTTTGAGTTAATATGATTTTTCTGACTCCACTGGCATAATTTTGCTTTTTTTAAGCATCAACTCACTTAATTCTGATTAATTCTGAAAACAAGACATAATATCTTATGTAATTTTTTCTCATCTAGTAAATGCATCATGATTTAAGCATTTTTTGATATTTGGACTGGAAACGAGACACAAATACTAAACAAGAACAGCATTTTTTGCATTGTACACTTTCATGAATGATCTTTCACGGCTGTGTGTGTGAAATGGATCCGTTCCTCTCGGAGTCTCTCCACATAAAGCGCTCCGCCGCTGAGCGTCCCCATCACTCGACTCCCAGACGATGGAAGACTTGATCTCTCGGGAGCCCAGGGATCTGGGAAGAGCTCTGTGCATCATCACCGGCGCGTCGAAAGGCTACGGGCGGGCGCTGGCGTTCCAGCTGAGCTGCCGGATGAAGCCCAGATCGGTCCTGGTTCTGGTGGCCCGAACCAAAGCCCAGCTGAACGAGCTGAAGGACGACATCGTGAGTCTGAGTGGACGGAACCAGCTGGACGTCCGATGCGTTCAGGCGGATCTGGAGGAGGCGGGAGGAGTGGAGAAGACGGTGCAGGCGGTCAAAGAGACGAACTCGACGGACACGGACCACGTGCTTCTGATCAACAACGCAGGTGTGCTGGAGGCTTACACAGGTCAAATATGCTGCAAAAGTTCATTTATTCAACTTAAAAGCTGAAACTAATATATTATATAGACTCATTACATGCAAAGTGAGATATTTCAAGCCTTTATTTGGTATAATTGTGATGATTATGGCTTACAGATATGAAAACCTTTTCACAATATTCTAATTTTGGATTTGGGGTTTTCATATCTGTAAGCCATAATCATCAAAATTATAACAAATAAAGGCTTGAAATATCTCACTTTGCATGTAATGAGTCTATATAATATATTAGTTTCAGCTTTTAAGTTGAATTACTGAAATAAATGAACTTTTGCACCATATTCTAATTTTTCCAGTTTGATTTGATTTGGTTAACGTTAAAGTCCGCCTGTGGTGTAAATCCAGCGTTTAATGTTGTTTATGTGTCTATGTGGTGTTTTTAATACGCTTTAAGACACACCATGTGTAAGTTCATAAGTCGACAGCATTGCTGAGTATTTTCTGCTTAAAACGTAAATATAAAATGTGGTTATGTGAGTGTTAAAGTCCTCTTGTGGTGAAAATCAAGCGTTTAATGTTGTTTATGAGTATTAGGCCATGAGACGGGACCGCAAATTTGGGCTACCGGTACCATTTTGAGGGATTAAATTTCTTTTTGATTTTCATGAAGGTACACATCTCTAGTGTTGGAAAATGTGTGATAGCATCCGATCCATTGTAGCTTTCATTAGAAATCAACACTTATATCATCCTACCTCAAGGTAAGGTGTTCAGTGAGAAAAATTTATCCTTTTATAATTGTAAAATTATTTTAAAAAATTATAATTTTTTTATTATAACATTTTTTATAAAATTTTATAAAGTTTTTATAAAATTTAAAATTTATTTAAAGATAAAGTCATTTATCCTTTTTCTTGACATATGTTTGAAAATCATCCTCTGTAACCAAAAACTACCTTGAATCTAATGCTATCACACATTTTTCAAATACAGAGTCATATACCTACACAAAAATCACCATGTGGTTTAATCCCTCAAAATGGTACCAATCAACTAGCCTCGTGAGACCATCCTGATCTCGCGAGCTTTCAAGGTTTCACTCGCAGATCAGTCTGGATACTTTCCGTTAAAGAAAATTTGGGAGCAGTTCACCAAACGAACGTCCAATCAGCGTTGGCTTTGAGGCGGGTTGAGGTGTGACGCAACGAGAAGCGCGTCAGTTCAGTCTAAAGAACATGTCGGCTTCAGCGGATGAAACTAGCATCAGCGTGGCTATCGAGCGAGTTTTATCGGAATTACAGAGTATTTCTTCACTGAAAGAAGAGCAAAACACTGCTCTGGAGGCTTTTCTCAGAGGAAAAGATACGCTCTGTTAGTACGTCATATGCTTCGTTGATCTGATTGGTTGATTTGGCCCGTCTATCACCAACATAGGCCAATCAGCTAACCAGTATTTTCGCCCCTTACCAAAACTACTTCAACGGAAGGTTTCCAGATGGATATGCGGAGCAAATCCATCTGGCGGAGTCAGGTTACCAATCAACCCTCTGTCTCACGGCCTATATGTGGTGTTTTTAAGCAAACTTTTAATGTTTTAGTATTTGATTTAGGGTTTAATCCAGATTATGAACAAACGTTCTCCCAGTAAAGTTAATAGATCGTTATCGGTTCTCGAAACGTTGACACAAAATGTTAACATTTTTAAATGTTAGAATCGAAATGTTCAATGTTACAAAATGTAATGTTCAGTTAACAAGGAATAACTTTATTAAAGTCCCCCTGTGGTGTAAATCCAGCGTTTAATGTTGTTTATGTGTCTATGTGGTGTTTAATACGCTTTAAGACACACCATGTGTAAGTTCATAAGTCGACAGCATTGCTGAGTATTTTCTGCTTAAAACTGCAGTGAACCAAAGACAGTCTCAAAAACACGGTTTGAAATCGCTGGTGTTTCTGACGTCACAAACGACCTTGTAACCAATCAGATCAACATGTGATCGTCAACCAGTGGATCTCTGAGCTGAGTGAGTGAGTGGAGGCGGGGCTCATCTGCATATTCATAGAACCACGCATACTAAATGAGGCGAGGGTGTCGAGTTACATTCAAGATATTTTAAGGCATGAAGAATTTTTTTCTTTAATATGTCATTTTGGTGATTAAAGATGAGTTTTAAGGGATAAAATGATTGACTACAGGGGGACTTTAAGGGAACATTTCATTCTTCAAACATTATGTTACTATTAAATATTCTCTGAAACAAGTAGTAACATTTCCATGAATGATGTATAAATAATGTTTTTACGTTTTGAGAACATTATTAAAGATCTGGGCCCGTATGTATAAAACTTCTAAGAAATGATCTTAAGAATAGTCTTAAGCTTTGACTTAAGTGTAAAAAAATACTTAGTAAAGAGTAGGACTTTTCTAAGAGTAGGAGATTTTTATAAAGCAGCTAAAAGCAACTTTCAGTAAAGTATAAGACTGATTCTTAAGTGCTGGCTGAAGTGGGACTTAAGTGCTGTAAACTAAGGACTACAATGATGTGAACCCAAAATGGCCGCCCTCACCCTCTGAATCAGCCAATAGAGAGCCTGCAAGGGTGAGGTCACAGCAGCATGACACCAATTATTTAATGCAATTATAATAAAATAATTTAATTAAGACACTGAAACTTTAATTTTTAAATGTATTTTTTTAAATGGCTTTGCATTGTGCAAAATTATCACAAATTAGTATTGAAGGAAAATTGTCAGATTCACCCTTTATTCAAATAGTATTAAAAATGTGTTCAATATTTTGTAAGCGTATTGTGTAGTTGTGCCTGGAGTCAATTGTTTATTTGTGATAACACAATGAAACATTTCAAATTCACATCATTTTTAGCCAAGCTGTCATACAAATAAATTATGAACAGGTGAAAAAACAAGAGAGGAAAATCAAATATTAATAAATGATTATGTTCCAGACAATATATGATTTTTTTTCTCCTGTGAGCTTTTTAATTGTAATATCTTTATTGTCCACCAAGGTGGAAAATTGTCTTTGGCTCACCAGCCATTCAAATAAATATACAGACCATAATAGAAGACAAAGACATAAAACAGACAGATCACAATTTATCAAAAAAAAAATACATAATCACATTTCATACTATAGTCATTTGGATTATCATTTACTTGCCGAGTTGAGAATTTTAGCAGCATTTGGAATAAAAGACCTCTTAAACATATTTTTATTTGCTAGAGGGGTTCTGTAGCGTCTTCCCGATTTCATGGGCTCAAATTGACTGAAGAGAGGATGAGAACTATCTGCAAGAATACCCTTGCCTTCTTTGCCCTTTCAGCATAGAGATGTACTAGTAGCCTCTGTTGTCTGCCAACTATTCTGCTTGCAATTGTCACAATTCTGGCAAGTTTGTTCTTAGATCTGCAATTTAAATGATCATACCAGGCTCTCTACGATGGATTTGAACACAAGTTATAAAATATGCTGACTAACTCCAAGGCCACTAAGTTGTCTAAGAAGAAATAAATGTTGCGAACACTTTTTAAAAAGGTAGTCTGAATTATCAGCAAAATTCATGTGTGAATCAAGAATTGAACCTAGATATTTAAACTTCTTCACAATTTCAACTTGTTGACCCACAAGTGAAATTGGCTGGATTGACATATCCGCTTTTGGGCAGATAACCAATTCTTTTGTCTTTGCCACGTTAATTTCTAGTTGGCTAAAATGACACAAATTCTCCAGGTCCTTAATGTGAGCCAGATAGGCAGCGTCATATAAACAAATTAGTTTTGTCCAATAGGCCCACTAAGGCCATATCATCAGCGTATTTGAACAATCTAAAATGTTCTTCTTTAATCGTAAACTTATTAGTAAAAAGAGAGAAGAACACAGGGGAAAGGACACAGCCTTGTGGGCAACCTGTACTTAAAGTTAGCATATCAGACACAGTCCCTCGAACACAGACCCTCTGTGTACGACAAGAAAGAACATTTCTAATCCAGCGGACTAAACCTGTATTAACATCCAGATCAACCAGTCTTGTTAAGAGAATATGAATCGTCATTGAATTAAAAGCCGAGCAAAAATCCACGAATAAAACCCTGACATATGCTTTGAGATGCATGAGATGTTTTGTAACTGTATTAGGCAGTGTCAGTACAGCATCATGTACCTCTGTTACTCTTATATGCAAACTGAAGTGAATCTAACCTAGAGGCGACAGTCGAAGTTAGATGATTAGCTAAAACTCTTTCCATAGTTTTACACATTATAGAAGTTATTGCAATGGGCCGGAAGTCATTTGGCATGCTCGCCCTTGGCTTTTTTGCCACAGGCCTAATTATTGAGTACTTCCATAATTTTGGCACTTTATACCTGTGTCCAAAAGTAATTGGAACAACCTTGCAAAAACTCCTTTTAGTTGAGGAGCACACTCTTTAAGAAGGCATGCTTTTAAACCATCTGGGCCAGTGGTCTTATTAGGCCTTAGTTTACAAAGGCTTGCCATGACATCGGCCTCAGTGATAACTATTGATGATTCTGCAGGGAGATTATTACATATCTCATCACATTCAGTCTTGCCTTCCACAGTGTCAAATCTACCTTAAAAGTATTTAAATCATTAATAAAACTTTTACTTACACAGTTATCATCCTTTTTATTTGGCCTATACCCATTAATCTATTTAATCTCTCCCAAGCCTGTCTTATATCACCAGTTAAGAATTTTCCCTCTATCTTTTTTGTTTTTGTTTTTCTAAAACCTAGCTGTAGTTTGCCCTTATTTGTCACTTAATATTTAAAAATAATATTGATCTGTCTGCATTGATACCATATGAGAACTAAACTGAGCTGGACGATGACATCACTGTTTTCACCAGAGTGGCTGTAGAGATAAATGAACTGAATAGATAACTAATGATTTTTTACAATGGAAATAAAAGCTTTAGCTTAATTTCTACCAGGAAGACTAAATTGTCACGTCACTTATTACCTTCTCATCTATCCAATCCTGGGGGTCCTTCATCTGTCCATACCTCATACCTCCCGGGGGTCGCTCCACCCCTGCCTTCGTCTTTAAATGCGAGTTACGGACGGGATACGCAACAGAACTTTATAACACAATACTTGCTTGCTGGGCTGTTAATAAATGTATTTGTCACGTCATTTTGCCATATTTTCCTCATAATTTGATGGTTTAAGCAAACTTGTAGGGTCATTTTTTTTTAAACTCCGCACATCACTTTTGGCCACCACTGTATATTTGGTGTGGTCAGTGTCACAATAGTGCTATTCAAGAGCTTATAACTGTGGACTGAAGGGCCCGAGTCATCACAGGTGCACTGCTGCATTTCTCCAGTCGCCAAAAATATAATTATTACTTTAATTTCATTGCTATGAAACTTTTTAAAGGTAAGTTACAAAAAGAATACCTTGATGATTAAACTTTTTTTTTTATTGTTTGATCAACTCATTTAACTACAATTCATCATATTTTCGTTGAAAAGTGCATGGCCTAACCTCTCTGCTGCCATCTTGTTACTCCTAACTAGGTTAGGAGACCTCTCCAGCTCTCTTAAATAATTTAGGAGCTAAGACCAAATCTTAGCACTTAGGAACTTTTATGAATCACACTTATTCTTAAGTTTAGGAATAAGAGTAAAATTATGTAATTCTTAGAATTTTGACAGACTTGAGACAAAAATTTTACTCTGAGTGGCTTTATACATACGGGCCCTGATAACTTTAAATTTTAAAGTTACTGGAAGAACGCTTTGAGAGAGCCGATGTAATCTCTTGTAATGTAAAGAAACGTGTGTCTCTTGTTCTCAGCGTCTCTGGGCGACGTGTCTCGCTTCGCTCTGTCGTTCACGGACCCCGCGGAGGTGAACCGTTACCTGTCGCTGAACGTTAGCGGCGCGCTCAGTCTGACGGCCGGCGTCCTGCAGGCGTTCCCTCGTCGTCTGGGTCTGAGGAGAACCGTGGTGAACATCAGCTCTCTGTGTGCGCTGAAGCCCTTCCCCTCGTGGGTCCTGTACTGCACCGGGAAAGCGGCCCGAGACATGATGTTCCGGGTGTTAGCCGAAGAGGAGCCAGATGTACGGGTGCTGAGTTACGCCCCCGGTGAGTGTCCCGTTCTGATGATCGATCTCCTGTACCTTAAAGCAGACGTGCATATAGTTACATTGATTCTGTTTGTTGCAGGGTTTTAAAAAATTCAATAAATAAAACAATAAAAAATGTAAACATAAAAATGAAACACTTAGGTTTTATTTTTGTTTTATTTTGTTTTTGTTTAGAAAGGTCTTGCATGTTTTAGGAAAGGTATTGCATGTTTTAGGAAAGGTATTGCATGTTTTAGGAAAGGTCTAGCATGTTTTAGGAAAGGTTTTGCATGTTTTAGGAAAGGTTTTGCATGTTTTAGGAAAGGTATTGCATGTTTTAGGAAAGGTCTTGCATGTTTTAGGAAAGGTTTTGCATGTTTTAGGAAAGGTCTTGCATGTTTTAGGAAAGGTTTTGGATGTTTGAGGAAAGGTCTTGCATGTTTTAGGAAAGGTTTTGGATGTTTGAGGAAAGGTCTTGCATGTTTTAGGAAATGTTTTGCATGTTTTAAGAAAGGTATTGCATGTTTTAGGAAAGGTCTAGCATGTTTTAGGAAAGGTCTTGCATGTTTTAGGAAAGGTATTGCATGTTTTAGGAAAGGTCTAGCATGTTTTAGGAAAGGTCTTGCATGTTTTAGGAAAGGTTTTGCATGTTTTAGGAAAGGTCTTGCATGTTTAAGGAAAGGTTTTGGATTTTTGAGGAAAGGTCTTGCATGTTTTAGGAAAGGTTTTGGATGTTTGAGGAAAGGTCTTGCATGTTTTAGGAAATGTTTTGCATGTTTTAAGAAATGTTTTGCATGTTTTAAGAAAGGTCTTGCATGTTTTAAGAAAGGTCTTGCATGTTTTAGGAAAGGTCTTGCATGTTTTAAGAAAGGTTTTGCATGTTTTAGGAAAGGTCTTGCATGTTTTAGGAAAGGTCTTGCATGTTTTAAGAAAGGTCTTGCATGTTTTAGGAAAGGTTTTGCATGTTTTAGGAAAGGTTTTGCATGTTTTAGGAAAGGTTTTGCATGTTTTAGGAAAGGTCTTGCATGTTTTAAGAAAGGTTTTGCATGTTTTAGGAAAGGTTTTGCATGTTTTAGGAAAGGTCTTGCATGTTTTAGGAAAGGTCTTGCATGTTTTAAGAAAGGTTTTGCATGTTTTAGGAAAGGTTTTGCATGTTTTAGGAAAGGTCTTGCATGTTTTAGGAAAGGTCTTGCATGTTTTAAGAAAGGTCTTGCATGTTTTAGGAAAGGTTTCGCATGTTTTAAGAAAGGTCTTGCATGTTTTAGGAAAGGTCTTGCATGTTTTAAGAAAGGTCTTGCATGTTTTAGGAAAGGCCTTGCATGTTTTAAGAAAGGTTTTGCATGTTTTAGGAAAGGTCTTGCATGTTTTCGGAAAGGTTTTGCATGGTTTAGGAAAGGTCTTGCATGTTTTAGGAAAGGTTTTGCATGTTTTAGGAAAGGTTTTGCATGTTTTAGGAAAGGTTTTGCATGCTTTAGGAAATGTTTTGCATGTTTTCGGAAAGGTTTTGCATGTTTTAGGAAAGGTCTTGCATGTTTTCGGAAAGGTTTTGCATGTTTGAGGAAAGGTCTTGCATGTTTTCGGAAAGGTTTTGCATGTTTTAGGAAAGGTTTTGCATGTTTTCGGAAAGGTTTTGAATGTTTTAGGAAAGGTCTTGCATGTTTTCTGAAAGGTTTTGCATGTTTTAGGAAAGGTTTAGCATGTTTTAGGAAAGGTTTTGCATGTTTTAGGAAAGGTCTTGCATGTTTTAGGAAAGGTTTTGCATGTTTTAGGAAAGGTCTTGCATGTTTTCGGAAAGGTTTTGCATGTTTTAGGAAAGGTTTTGCATGTTTTAGGAAAGGTTTTGCATGTTTTAGGAAAGGTTTTGCACGGTTTAGGAAAGGTCTTGCATGTTTTAGGAAAGGTTTTGCATGTTTTAGGAAAGGTTTTGCATGTTTTAGGAAAGGTCTTGCATGTTTTAGGAAAGGTTTTGCATGTTTTAGGAAAGGTTTTGCATGTTTTAGGAAAGGTTTTGCACGGTTTAGGAAAGGTCTTGCATGTTTTAGGAAAGGTTTTGCATGTTTTAGGAAAGGTTTTGCATGTTTTCGGAAAGGTTTTGCATGTTTAGGAAAGGTTTTGCATGTTTTAGGAAAGGTTTTGCATGTTTTAGGAAAGGTTTTGCACGGTTTAGGAAAGGTCTTGCATGTTTTAGGAAAGGTCTTGCATGTTTTAGGAAAGGTCTTGCATGTTTTAAGAAAGGTCTTGCATGTTTTAGGAAAGGCCTTGCATGTTTTAAGAAAGGTTTTGCATGTTTTAGGAAAGGTCTTGCATGTTTTAAGAAAGGTCTTGCATGTTTTAGGAAAGGTCTTGCATGTTTTAAGAAAGGTCTTGCATGTTTTAGGAAAGGCCTTGCATGTTTTAAGAAAGGTTTTGCATGCTTTAGGAAAGGTCTTGCATGTTTTCGGAAAGGTTTTGCATGTTTTAGGAAAGGTCTTGCATGTTTTCGGAAAGGTTTTGCATGGTTTAGGAAAGGTCTTGCATGTTTTAGGAAAGGTTTTGCATGTTTTAGGAAAGGTTTTGCATGTTTTAGGAAAGGTTTTGCATGCTTTAGGAAATGTTTTGCATGTTTTCGGAAAGGTTTTGCATGTTTTAGGAAAGGTCTTGCATGTTTTCGGAAAGGTTTTGCATGTTTTAGGAAAGGTCTTGCATGTTTTCGGAAAGGTTTTGCATGTTTTAGGAAAGGTTTTGCATGTTTTCGGAAAGGTTTTGCATGTTTTAGGAAAGGTCTTGCATGTTTTCTGAAAGGTTTTGCATGTTTTAGGAAAGGTTTTGCATGTTTTAGGAAAGGTTTTGCATGTTTTAGGAAAGGTCTTGCATGTTTTCGGAAAGGTTTTGCATGTTTTCGGAAAGGTTTTGCATGTTTTAGGAAAGGTTTTGCATGTTTTAGGAAAGGTTTTGCATGTTTTAGGAAAGGTTTTGCATGTTTTAGGAAAGGTTTTGCATGTTTTAGGAAAGGTTTTGCATGTTTTCGGAAAGGTTTTGCATGTTTTAGGAAAGGTTTTGCATGTTTTAAGAAAGGTTTTGCATGTTTTAGGAAAGGTCTTGCATGTTTTCTGAAAGGTTTTGCATGTTTTAGGAAAGGTTTTGCATGTTTTAGGAAAGGTTTTGCATGTTTTAGGAAAGGTCTTGCATGTTTTCGGAAAGGTTTTGCATGTTTTCGGAAAGGTTTTGCATGTTTTAGGAAAGGTTTTGCATGTTTTAGGAAAGGTTTTGCATGTTTTAGGAAAGGTTTTGCACGGTTTAGGAAAGGTCTTGCATGTTTTAGGAAAGGTTTTGCATGTTTTAGGAAAGGTTTTGCATGTTTTAGGAAAGGTTTTGCACGGTTTAGGAAAGGTCTTGCATGTTTTAGGAAAGGTTTTGCATGTTTTAGGAAAGGTTTTGCATGTTTTCGGAAAGGTTTTGCATGTTTTAAGAAAGGTTTTGCATGTTTTAGGAAAGGTTTTGCACGGTTTAGGAAAGGTCTTGCATGTTTTAGGAAAGGTTTTGCATGTTTTAGGAAAGGTTTTGCATGCTTTAGGAAATGTTTTGCATGTTTTAGGAAAGGTTTTGCATGTTTTAGGAAAGGTTGTGCATGTTTTAGGAAAGGCTTTGCATGTTTTAAGAAAGGTTTTGCATGTTTTAGGAAAGGTTTTGCATGTTCACTTACGGTGTGCTGGACTCACTGTGACCCGCAGGTCCTCTGGACACAGACATGCAGCTTCAAGCTCGTCGTTTCTCAGGAGACCTGAACCTGCGTCGCTCGTTCTCCTCGATGTTCTCAGAGCACCAGCTTCTGACCTGCGAGGAGTCCGGGTCCAAACTCGTCAAACTCCTGCTGGACAACGACTTCCCATCCGGAGCGCATCTCGACTTCTACGAGCTTTAGGAGCAGATTCACACTTACAGCTCGTGTACATACAAACATGTGCTTCTTCCTAGGGTTTCCAGCACAAATATATAAACATTCTTACATTAAGATGCATTTACTGGAGAAGAAGCAAAATGACTGAAGATATTAAGACTGGAAAAAGAATCAAAATGAAGTGAGTTTGTGCTTAAAACAAGAACAAATATCTGACAATGGAGTCAGAACAATAATCTTGTTTTCCCTTTGATTTCCCCTGACCTTTTGTTTTAAGCACAAACTCACTTCATTTTGGTTCCTTTTTCAGACATAATATCTTCAGTCATTTTGTTTCTCCAGTAAATGTGAATCCTAAATAATTCAGTTCAATTCAGATCACATTTACTGAAGCAGCAAAATGACTGAAGACTGAAAAATTAATCAAAATCATCAGTGACTACATTGTCAGATATTTAATTGTTTAGATATTTGTGCTGTTTTTATTTTTGATTATTTGTTTATTTAAATTTTAAATTTTTATGATTTAATTTTTTAGTAAGTGTTTTATTTTACTTTTTTAAACATTTTTATGGTAAAGTTTTCAGTGTGTTAATTTTGATTTTTTGATTTTAAAATTATTATTTTTAATTTTTAATTTTATGATTTAAGTTTCAGTGTTTTATTTTTATGTTTTCCTTTTTTAATTGTTCATTTTAATTTGACATTTTACGAATTTTTTATTTCAATTGTTTTTATTTTTTTATTATTTGTTTATTTTAATTTTACATTTTAATTTTAAATAATTTGTGTTTTCCAGCACAAATATCTAAACATTCTTGAATCAAAATACATTTACTGGAGAAGCAAAATGACTGAAGATATTAAGACTGAAAAATGTATCAAAATCAGTGACTTCATTGTCAGATATTTCATTGATTAGATATTTGTGCTGGAAAACAAAACAGAAACACTGAGGAAGAACATCATGTTATACCATGTTGTTGATAGATCTGTGTTTTTTTATTCATTTTAAGTCTACGTAAAAAAAAAAAAAAATCTGTAAATTTGTTTAGACATATGCACACTTTTTTTATATACAGAATAAATAAATGTTGCTGGTGTTTTACATCTGCTGTGTGGAGTTATTAATGCAGCTGAGGACCTCTAGTGGTGATCGACGGAAATACAGAGGAAAACACAAGGGAGGAAATCAAAGCATATTCTGAAAATATTTACTCTTATTTTCTCCACTATATCTTTGGTGTTTTCCCGTAATAAATTAATGATAGGGTACAACAGCCATATTTGTTGTTATTTTCCTCTAATCCACTAGATGGCGTTAAAACTCACCGCAACACTTTTCTTAAAGAGACAGTTCACCCAAAAATTTAAATAATCATAATTTACCCCCTCTTAAGATGTTTCTTTCTTTTGCTGAACACAAATGAAGATATTTTGAAAAATGTTGGTACTAAACAGTTGATGGACCCCATAGACTTCCAAAGTATTTTTTTTCCTACTATGGAAGTCAATGGGGTTCATCAAATGTGATACTGGTTTTATACAACAGTTCAATAAATAAGAAGTTAATATTGTGTTATATTTTAGACACAATATTGTACCTATAAAGCAATAGCAGAACTGTTGTGCTTCTCCGAACATTTCATTTCTGAATGAATCCGCGGTTTGAGCGAATCAATCCGGTGAAGCAATGATTCAATGACTCGTTCATAGAGAGAGCGAACTGAATGAATCATGAGTCGTTTGAACGAATCAAATGAATAGATGACTCACTCATTCAGACATTTACCGCCACCTACTGGCAGTTTTAGTTTCTTATTTAGAGTATCATTTCATTTAAAACCTTACATATTTCCAAATGAATAAAAACCCTTTAAAAGTACAGTTCACCCAAAAATGAGTAAATGTTTCTGTGTAATAAATTCTATGTTGAATCAAATAAAATAAAACAAATCTTAAGCTACTTTTTGTTGATGCTTTTTAGAGTTTAACACAATAATGACTTTAACTTAATTTATCCACATTGTGTAAATAATTGATTTTAATTGTTTGACAGCCCTAGTTTCCTCCCCCCCCCCAAAGTAATTAAATCAAGATTTTCAATAACTGAAGAATATGTAAAAGTATGGTATTTGAGGTAAATCATCAAATAATAAATATCTGGCTGAGTTTGTTTTATTTGTTTGACAAGACATGGTTAGATTCAACTGATCAATGTCATTTATTAATTCGGATTTAGTCAGATTCAGTCCATTTACATAATCACCGTATTAATAATGAAACCAGATGCTAATAAAAAAAAATGCAATTTATTGTTAAGTTAAAGCCATATTAAATTATTGTGGGAAGGGTTTATTGTGCAGGCAAGCAGAATAATATGTTTTTTTATTAAATTTCAGAAATTTTTTAATGATAGTGATTGAATATCAAAACAATAAACAGAATATCAGACCCTGTTTGAACAGTGAAAGGCAGATTACACAGATTTCAGAAACATCTGATCTGACATCAGCACTTACAGGCTTTTTTTCAATGCACGTCTTCTTCCTGTCACATGACACACACAGGCTGTCTCTTTGATGGAGCCGGTTGCCATGGTAACAGCTGCGTTGATGTCATCGGTGAATTTGTGAATGGAGACCAAGTGTGTGAAGTATAACCCGCAGCTCTCCTGGAGGAGAAAAGACATGAACGCATGAGCTTTACAGAGGAGAGATGCATGAGATTCGCTTTTGATTGACCAAGACTCGTTCGGTAAGGAATTTAATGATTATGGCTTACAGATATGAAAACATTTTCACAATATTCTAATTTTGAATTTGGGGTTTTCATATCTGTAAGCCATAATCATCAAAATTATAACAAATAAAGGCTTGAAATATCTCACTTTGCATGTAATGAGTCTATATAATATATTAGTTTCACCTTTTAAGTTGAATTACTGAAATAAATGAACTTTTGCACCATATTCAAATTTTTCGAGTTTCACCATATGTTTTAAAATTGAAACCTACATGGAAACACTTTAAACTTTAAATAAACACACAAACAATACCATGAAAATACGAGTAAAAATGTTAAATATACACTCTAAAAAAAATGCTGGGTTGTTTCAACCGAAATTTGGGTCAAATATGGACAAACCCAGCCGTTGGGTTACATTTTTTTTTAAATTACAAATATGGTTATGGTTTGTCCATATTTTACCCAAATTTGGGTTGAAACCACGCAGCATTTTGTAGAGTGTATGCAAAGATGACAATTCACTATGCAAATCGCACATCAATATGCAAATATCGCATAATCTGCTTTTATTGAACATTCTATCAATGTAAGTCAGTGAGAGATTTCCAAAGCCCGAGGGACATTGACACAGAGCTGCCAAACAAACACTGGAATTATGGGAGAATTGAATAAAAAACAGGACTTTTCCTGGTTTCACTCAGTCTTGTGTGTTTATTATTAGTGATGGGGATTTTACAGTGACTCTTTCCGCCAGTAGGTGGCGACAAACGACTCTCTCTGTGAGCGACTCAACTGAGTCAATTCGAATCGTTCAAAAACAATGATTCATTCATGAACGCTACTGTATGTTTAATCTGAACACTTTGATTACAGATATTTTGGAGAACATTCTGGCTAAAGAGTCATAAAAAGGGTAACTTACTGCGTTCTTGTAGACTTCTTTGATGTTACATCAACCATACCTTAAATATATTTGAGGAAAAACGTGAATATAAAATAAAT